TGTGCCGATCGTTCACGAACCCTTTTGATAAAGAATTTCATAATACAATGAATTAGATCACCTTATTGTCCAGAGTGAAGAGGAATGAATCATTATCTCGTTTGTCAGCCTCTGAATCAGTGATGATCTCTCCAACGTATCTGCAGAAGTTTCCACAAATGAGCTCAGTAGAAGCAGATTTTTAACTATGTAAAGGTGAATTCAGGCTTTTCTCTGATTACACTGTGTCCTTACTCGCAAATGAATGTCCCTTGAGGTATATCATGTGTGGCCCTGACTCCCCAGCCCATATTCTCTGTCCTGAAGAGCTGCAGTCGGACCCTGGGACAAACAAATGAGCTGTTAGAGAGAGTGGCACAACTTCCAAATAACATTTAAACAAAACAAACAAGCATTTTATAAAAAAAAAAAAAAGTTTCAAACAACTTTGGGTCAACCCCCCCCCCCCAAAAAAAAAAAGCTCAGCGTGAAGGAAGTGGAGCACTTCCTAGCGTTTTAGCTGGCGTTTGTATTGCACGCTGCTAGCTTTGCGCTGCTAGCTTCGCGCTACATCAGTGCCGGCAGTTGTCGACGGGGTGGAGTTCGGTAGGCAGGGCACTCAGGTTTGTTGACTGGGCGGTGCGCTCTGCTTGTATAATGGTAGGGGAAACACTGGCTTTTATGGATTTTTCAAATTTATTTTCTACTTTGGTTTCTTCTTCACTCATTATCGGTGCAGTAATTTAGTTGTTTTAGCATTACATTTGGTAGACTTGTTTGTAACGTTGCTTGACACTGACCAGAGATTGATGTAAACATTAAGAAGTGCTTTAACTTGATGCTGTTGTCAACTAAAAAAACAACCAACTGTAAACAAGATTTTTAGACTGTTCCAACCAGCCTGTCACAAAGACACTATCTGCCCCCATTTCTTTAAATAAAAACAAAAAATGACAACAGTTAGCAGACCTCGAGACAGAAACAAGAGAAAATATATGTTGCACCAACAGCATGATTCCCAAAGAGCTACTAAACACATTTAGTTCAATTTGCATTTTCAATCATGACTCGAACATTACTGAACACATCTGAATCAATCTTTAATTCTACCCGAGCAGGAAGTGTTGATAATGCTGATACCAAAAAGTGAAGTCAGGTCATCTGGACAGATTCTTCTTGGTTGAAACGTTTCGTCTTTCATCTGAAAGGATGTATGTAGACGTTTAATAATTTATTCCATGTCATCACCTTCATGGGGTGGTTCTATTAGGGTAGCGGGGTGTCCTCCTTGGCTTGCTGCAGGTTTGTCTCTGTTGTTCACACACAGGCGCACCGTGAACCAGACAGCAGGCTCTGCCCTGTTCTGCTCTGATTGGGTCAAAATGTGGCTCTGGTTCTCTTTATGGGTTGAAATAAGCATCAGTATCATCATAAGATTGAATGGCTTTAACAAAACTACAACAAAACTCAAGTTTTTCTCCCTCATTTTTACACATGAAGGTAATCCGTCCTGACCACGTTAAAACTGACAGAAATCCATTGCAGCAACAGAGAATCCTTAACTTTAATTAATTAAATTTAATTTAATGTGATTTACCTGTCTAAATAAAAATTGAATGAAAAATCCATGTAATAAGTGATGTCAGGTGTGTGAGGGACAGAACCTGTTTGTATTTCCTGTTCCCATTTCACTAAATTCATCACAACTTGTTTTTCAAAAAGTCTCAAACCAGCTTGAATTGATGCTGAAACACTTCCTGATGAAGTGGAGACCATCTATATTTAACATTACATTTGTATTTCTACTGTATGATGATTGTAAAATGTGTCAAAACAGTATTGGAAACAGATAAGCTGGTCAGGGTTACATTTTGAAGTTAAGTACATCAAAAGGTGCAGACTTTGTCAGGTCACAGCTTTAAAGAAAGTGTTCCTAATCCATCATAAACAAAATTAAATCAATTTAAAAACCTGAGTCCGTTTTGAACAACACGGTTCCTGCAGGTCCTCCAGCAGGAACAGGCATGGTTACACTCAAACAGCACTGGAGGCTCCCAGTGACAGAAGTCCAGAGGGAGTCGGCCTTCCTGCAAACACACACACAAGGTAGGATCAAATGCATGGTTTCACAATGCAACAACAGGTAAAGGGATGTATCAACATCTTTTACCATGTATACATGATTGGGCTGAGGAGGTAATAGGTCCAGGAGGGAAACCCTGAACAAAACACTCCAGCTCCTCCAGTTTATCAGCTGTTGTCAATGATTGTCAACAAGATGGTCAAAGACCACAAAGAGGAAAACGTGTCAGGAGACAGAGGGAGAAAAGGAAAGTCAAGAATGTAGGACTGAGGGTGGCAACTCTAAATGTGGGGACAATGACAGGCAAAAGTTGAGAGCTGGCTGACATGCTGCAGAGAAGCAAGGTAGATGTTTTATGTGTCCAAGAGACCAAGTGGAAGGGCAGCAAGGCTCGCAGCATTGGAGCAGGGTTCAAACTGTTTTACCATGGTGTGGATAGAAAGAGAAATGGAGTAGGGGTGGTCCTGAAGGAGGAGTTGGAAAAGAATGTATAAACCGGATTCCAAAAAAGTTGGGACACTAAACAAATTGTGAATAAAAACTGAATGCAATGATGTGGAGGTGCCAACATCTAATATTTTACTCAGAATAGAACACAAATCACAGATCAAAAGTTTAAACTGAGAGAATGTATCATTTTAAGGGAAAAATCTGATGTTTCCAAATTTCATGGTGTCAACAAATCCCAAAAAACTTGGAACAAGTCCATTTTTACCACTGTGTGGCATCCTCCCTTCTTCTTATATACTCCCTTCTTCTTACAACACTCAACAGACGTCTGAGGACAGAGGAGACCAATTTCTCAAGTTTAGAAATAGGAATGCTCTCCCATTCATGTCTAATACAGGCCTCTAACTGTTCAATCTTCTTGGGCCTTCTTTATCGCACCTTCCTCTTTATGATGCGCCAAATGTTCTCTATAGGTGAAAGATCTGGACTGCAGGCTGGCCATTTCAGTACCCGGATCCTTCTCCTACGTAGCCATGATGTTGTGATTGCTGCAGAATGTGGTCTGGCATTATCGTGTTGAAAAATGCAGGATCTTCCCTGAAAGAGATGACGTCTAGATGGGAACATATATTGTTCTAGAACCTGAACATAGTTCTCTGCATTAATGGTGCCTTTCCATACATGCAAAAGCTGCCCATGCCACAAGCGCTCATGCAACCCCATACCATCAGTGATGCAGGCTTCTGAACGGAGCGTTGATAACAACTTGGGCTATCCTTGTCCTCTCTGGTCCGGATGACATGGAATCCCAGTGTTCCATAAAGAACTTCAAATCGTGACTCATCTGACCACAGAACAGTCTTCCATTTTGCCACACTCCATTTTAAATGACCGCTGACCCAGTGAAAACATCTGAGCTTGCTTAGAAATGGCTTCCTCTTTGCACTGTAGAGTTTCAGCTGGCAACGGCGGATGGCACGGTGGATTGTGTTCACTGACAATGCTTTCTGGAAGTATTCCTGAGCCCATTCTGTTATTTCCTTGACAGTGGCATTCCTATTTGAGGTGCAGTAACGTTTAAGGGCCCGGAGATCACGAGCATCCAGTAGAGTTTTACGGCCTTGACCCTTACGCACAGCGATTGTTCCAGATTCTCTGAATCTTTTGATGATGTTATGCACGGTTGATGATGATAACATAAAAGTCTTTGCTATTTTACGCTGGGTAACACCATTCTGGTATTGCTGCACTATCTTTCTGCGCAACAATGGTGGAATTGGTGATCCTCTTACCATCTTGGCTTCTGAGAGACACTGACATTCTGAGAAGCTCTTTTTATACCCAATCATGTTGTCAATTGACCTAATTAGTGTACATTGATCTTCCAGCTGTTCGTTATATGCTCAATTTCCTTTTTCCAGCCACTTATTGCTACTTGTCCCAACTTTTTGGGGATTTGTTGACACTGTGAAATTTTGAATCAACATATTTTTCCTTTAAAATGTTACATTTACTCAGATTAAACTTTTGATCTGTCATCTATGTTATATTACGAATAAAATATTGACATTTGCCATCTCCACATCATTGCATTCAGTTTTTATTCACAATTTATTTAGTGTCCCAACTTTTTTGGAATCCGGTTTGTAGATTTCCTTTAATTCCACACATTTAAAGCATGTTTCTCACCAAGTTTGTGTAAATTCAGCTGTGGGTTTTAAATCATTTCATCTTTAATGCACTTTAACACACAGCGTCAGGTCGGTGTTTATAGAGAAATTAAAAACATCACCACTAGACATTTTTACTTGTGTTCAACACTACTCATCTAAATTATGTTTCTCATGAAGCTTGAGTAGGAGAAATGGTAATCTGGACCACAAGCTCACCTATGTTGAAAGCCATCCCCAAAAAGGTATGTAAATCGGAGCGATATGTATTAGAAAACCAGCGCCTGCCCCTTAGAATGGTAGGGGATCGAATAATGACCCCCTACAATTGTTTGATAAGTTCAAGAGCAAGATTAGGATACAGGGTACAGGTGCTGTACAAAGGTCAGCCACTTATAACTCAAGTAGAAGTATTAGCCGAAGAGGACCAGAAAGAAATGGAGTATTATTCATTGATTACCCAACTCGGACCAAGAAAAAGAAGAGAGTGGGCAGCAACTTTTAAACCACTGTGGAGTAGATGTAGACCCTAACCTGAACCCAAAAATTGGTTGGTGATGCAGTGGAAATGGGTGTGGAAAGGGTTGCAACCTGGATTGCCACACCCCTCCCCACTATATCTGAAACTCCTTCAGGGGCGAGTGACTACAGTCAACAGACGCTCCGAGAGAAGGGCAAGAGCTAGGAGCAACACAGGCCCTTTCCCATAATGATTCCACTGAAAACTAGAGATCCGAACAGCAATGATTCAAACAACGAAGATTCAGATGATGAAGCGACCCCCAACCGACCTAAGGACTGTCCAAGGATTACGATTAAGGATAAAGCGGCTTGTCTACGTACCCTGATGCGGGGACTCGTAGTGTTAATAGGCTTTGTAATGTTGTTGGTTATTTTGTATGAAGCTGGAATTAGACCATGGAGCCTCACACATGTAACAGTCTCCCACGGGAGATCCAAATATGCAAACATAACATGCTGGGCTATCACTCGAAGCAATATATTTTCATGCCATGGAACCAAAATGAGACCATTCAAAATCAAACTTTGACTTGGAATCGAGTGAAACGAGCGGGCTATTGAGCATGGAAGAAAAAGCTGAATCTCACACCTGAATGGATGGCAGCTATTGACGCTGGGAATCTGACCGGAATAACATGGACCATCACCGACCTGTTAGTCCTACAGGATGGAGTTGTAGTTTGGATAGCAGAATTAAAGAGACAAGTTAAAAGAACAACAAGATCTAATTGGATTCACCCTGACAAAGAACCGCCCGAATGGCAATGTGATCGGGCCTGCCGACCACTGCAAGGGTTGGCCCACCAAGGCCACTGGGATAAAGAAGTGATCTATCCCACGCCGCCATAAGACGAAAGCTGTCGGGCAATCCTCCCATGCTTGGAGTTCTGGGGCAATATCCATTTGGACTGTGACAAAGTACCCCCACTCATTCAAAGAAATCACACTGGAATGTATCGGAACCGTACTGGAATTAAAACCATTCACACTGTAAGACACAAGAAGATACTCAAACCCAATGCAACCGACATAAAGCCTCACCAAAGACCAACTGAGGCCTATGATGATATAATAGTCCCACCGGCCAATGTAATATACATGGTGAAGATAGAGTCCAATGATAACGGGGTAGAGAAGGCAGGGGTGGATAAGGCCGCAACAGAATATTGTAAGGAAAACAAATTAAAGAAGCTCCCAATCAGCTATTGGAACCTGTATGGTGAGTGTAAATCTCAAAATTATTTACCAATAACCCCAGTAGCAAATCAAAGATATTATTACTGGAGCTGGGCAGCTATATTTCATCCTGTTAATGCCTGGCATGAAGATTGGCTGAACATGACATTACCATGGGTATGGGTGGTCCCTGGTTTGCCCCACTTCGAAGGTGACTTTGTGGAGGGGTATACCAGGACTCACACAGGCCTGATGGGGCCGTATTACTCAGACATGTATGTGCAGAGGCTGCCCAAACCAAACAAGCTATTTAGTGCACCAAAAGGTGATTTTAACAAAATTGATGAATGTGTAGCCGAACGTATTTTCCTTTTCTCTCAGTGTGGGAGAGCAGTGGGGCGTCACCTAGATGCAGATTATGGGAAACAGAAGTAGCAGTCATGTCCACCTGGCGTTATGACTGTACGGAACTAAAGAAAGAAAAGACGATCAAAGTATTGCTCCAAGCCTGGCACGAGTATCACCATAGAGATGACTCACGTACTTGGTGGGGATTTCAAGAGGAAGAAATAAAAGAGAATGGGTGGTCCCTTGTTTAAAACACTCTGCTAATTATTGGATCAGGTATCAATTCTTAGCTACAGTTTACTCCAAAGAGCAGGACATATGGTCAAATGCTTTATATAGTCCTGACAGATATGTCAGCCCGAGGCCATGGCAAATGTTTTGTAATGGAAAAAAAGATATGTGTACAATTAGCTTGGCCCACAGGCCTTGTTATGAGTTACCCGGTTGGGATACTTACTGTCGAAATCACTATAACAACGAATTCGTAACTCATGCAGCTGAGGTAGTGTGAAAAAAGTATAGTGACGGAAAATGGAGAAGATCTGTACCTGACGGTACAAGTTGCACTAACGTCATATTAGGACATAAACTGAAAACTAGAAAGAGTATTCAGGGAGTGAGTGTCCCCTTTGTCTCCGATTCTATGATTGCTCTGGCCGAAGGACATGCACTGAGACGACGTCTATGTTTTGGCGATGAGTTACATGGCTACAATTGGGTAGGCCCAAACAAAATCTACTCTAATCTCACGTCAATATCCAGAAGAAAGTTGGAAAAAATGTGGCAAGGGAGAGGAAGAACATGACTGTGCTTGGTATGAAACTGTTAGTTACACAGT